TTTCCCATAAAGTGTTGTCTTTTTTCAATAGAATAACAGTGTCAAAAAGGAAATTTCCTTACCTTTTTTTATACTAACAGAAAAGTAACTTGGTACTGAAAAGTGAATTCAATAGCTTATTAACTGTGTATAATTGAACACCTTATGAACATGAGTCATTTAGTCAAACAGATTCAGCGTTCAGAGTCATCTCCATGGTGTAAAAAAATTCAGTCAGTCAGTCAGTCAGTCAGTAACAACGTGGAACTTCGTACGTGCGTACGTACATCAGTTCGAGTTGCCAAACCACATTAGCACAGAGATGCAGTTGTCTATTCAAATTCCGTAGTGGTAGAGGCATTAAGAGTATGAGCAGTAATCGGAAACATTAAGGTTTGAAGATGTTATTTAAAGAGTATATTTCAGTGAAATAAATTTGAAAAGAGAAAAAAATAGGAAAATGAGGATTCAGGAGATTAGAATTTGGGAGAACACAAATAGGCTTCTATCTTCTTGACATTGTCGAAGCTTATGTCATACATTTTGAATAGCTAGAAACGTGCTCACAAAAGAAACTTATTTACCCTATTCTTCTATTCATGATCTTAATCCCTAGTTTTCCAACGATATTACTGTCCCCCTCTTGTACTCTATTGATAGTTTACTGTTATTCAACTTATTTTGTTTCCATACCCTTACCAATTATAGTCCATTTTAATTCCAAAATTTTAGTTTATCACTTTAAGCAATGTTTTTCCACACTTATTGTTTTTTTGTATCAGAATTAGGCTTTGTGAATATTGTAGTGATCTTTTTAAAAGTTGAATTTATAAATCTGATAATAATCATCTTGTGCTGACTAGTGACTAGCTTCAAGATGGATTTCACGAAGTTTTAGTGAGAAGCCGTCACCAGTGGACTTCAACCTTGCCTAGTGTGAAGCACTTACTCATTGAAAATAATGATAGACGGTCGGGTAATGTCGTAGACTGGTTGAACTTAGACATTAGATGCTATCCAGCTCAGCGGTTTAAAGGTTAAGCGTTCGTGTGTGAGACCGGTCTTGGGTTCAAGTATTTTTGGTGTTAGATCGTGAATTTGCAGTGGTGGGTCGTTCCATACTGGAATGAAACGACCATCCAATCCTTCCAAGTTTTTACTAGTTGTTCAAGTTAGATCTATTCATAATATCAACAACATCCAACAATCTCTACAAATTCTCTTACTGATAAATATCATGTGCTCACTAGTTACTAACTTTATGAGGACATTTACAGAGTTCCGATATGAAGCTGTAAGCGGTGGAGTTCAGCTATGTTGTATATATGACAATATTCATCAACAGTATTAACTAATGTTCATACAATAATACAACTTGATTAAAATTAGACATATAAACTGCAGTATCCCAGCTCCCTGGTCTAAAAGTTTAGCTCTCTACTTAAGACCTGAAGTTCCTGCATTCAGTTCCCAATAAGGTGATGGATTCATACTGGTAAGAGGTCCCATACTGGAATTGTTGAACTATAAACTAACAATATCAATTCTTAAAAATTCAGTAATCTACACTTCAATAATTCACATTTCACAATTTCAGTGACAAAGACTACGACTAAATCAGTACTTGTAAATAGTTTTTTGGTAAGAAAAAACAAAGCTGAAAGTATTCAGTAATTTATCAACTTTTATAGATTATTACCAGTATGGGGATTTGTGGTGATTGTAGTAATTTTAATGATTAAATTCATGAGTCGATCTAAGCTAGACTACCATTGAAAATATAGAAACATTGGACAGCCGTTTCATCTGAATATGGACCTACTCACCAGTGTACATCTACAATCTCACACCAAAACGACTCGAACCCAAAACCTTCTATCTCACATGCGAACGCTTAACCTCTAGACTACTGAGCTGAACGGTATCCAACGGTCACAATTGATTGATCACTGGGTGGTGATCAATGTCTTGTGTGTCAAGTCTTTATTTAGTGCAGATCGATGATCACCACCCAGTGATCAATCAATTATGATTACATCTCAATCCTACAGGAGGTTAGTCGCGGCCCGGATAACTCAGTGGTAACGTCTCGGACTGTGAAGCTGGGTGACACGAGATCAAATCCGCCAGGGAGCACCAGTTCCCTCAATATTACAGGTACGCCTTGCTGACGAGTGCCAAGTAGCACAAAACCCGGGTCCAGGGTTTCCTGTCGACTACCTCCAACCACTATCTAATCTCGGTATCCAACGGTGTTAATATCTAGTTTCAATCGATCCATGATCTTGCAAAATCATTCATCTTTTGTCTAGGGTAGAGATACCTGTCTCCACCCGACACAGATTGAACACTATCGGTGACGATTTCTCACTCGAATTCCATGAAATTCATCTTGAAGCTATTCATTAATGACCACAAGATAACTATCATCAAAATGGGGGCTTGTGAAGATTGTAGTAATTTTAATAGTTGACTAATTTGAGAAGTAATAATACTAATAATAATACATAATAGGTATATATTTAAATATGCGCTTAATTACCAAAACACCAAATAATGTTATTTTTTGAGACAAAAATTCAAGATTTTGACGTTTATTTTTTGTACTTATTCAAGTGAATCACTATGACTATTATCATTATTATTATTATTATTACTGTTACTACCAATTATAAATAGTATGACTAATACTCATCTCCGTCTTATTAGTAAAACAAACTTGCATTTGTTTTTTTCATTTTCAAAATTTAAGGTGGAACTTGCGACTTAGGGATGTATAGTGTATTCTAGGCGTAGATTTACAGATTTCTTTTCTTACAAATAACATTTGGTACCACTTCAATAAAGAATTTATATATACTTCTAACTAAATATATTAGTATTACATCAATTATTCAAAGCGTAGTCATTATATTTACCACCACCCCGCTTACCCCTGAAAAGAGAAATGCATTCGACAGACGGTGGCAATAGTATTAGTAGTGAAAGTGGTGAATATAAAAGGGGGGTTAGGGATAATTTCAAAAAAAGGTAGTGAAAGAGAGAGAAAAACACAATAAAAAGTCAAATTTTATTTTTATTTTCCCATTTTATTTTGCATAAACTCACGTTTAGTCAATTTCCCAATTGGCAAAATGTAAAAAAATGTTAATTTTTCTGTTATTGAAACCCTTCAGGAAAATAAATAATAATTTAAACAAAATTCCATCGAGTCTTTTGCTAACTATCCTCATTACTCATTTTCACTTGTTTAACTATCATTCCTTATTAAACTGTTTTTGTGCTTCATTATTTTAGCTCCTCTTCAGTTTGTCTACATTCCCCACCCCCCACCCCCACCCCTCACTCCTCTCAGTTTGAAGTCATAATCTGTGAACAGTAAACTATTTTAAATATTCCCTATTTATGCATAATACATGAGACATTTTAGTAAAAGAAAATAATAATGAAAAGTATCTATTCTACTTATTTTCTAAAGCACATTACCATGTTATACAGTTTATAGTAAACAATGAAATGTAAAACAAAAAATGGTAACATCTTCACTATATAATGAGTATTCATGCGTTACACATACATTATGCATACATGTATGAAAGCACAGGAATAAAAGATATATGTAACTTATATTGACATGTCTTTTCTATGTATGCGTGTGTGTGTGTGTGCATGTACGTGTGTGTAGTTAACTGTACTTTTTGGTCTCAGTAACACAGATTTGTCAATCAGTGGGATTTATTCGATAGGATGAATTTTATAAAATAAAGAACATTATGTTTTAACAGACAGAATAATATGTCTAGTTAAATGTAGAAAATAAATAATATTTTTGTTATCAGTATAGAGTTGTGAAGATTGTTGAGTTCTTATTGAGATCATGAATAGATTAATGTTTTAGTGAGAAGCCGTCATCAATGGACTTCAACTGTGTCTAGTGTGAGATAGTAATTCACTGAAGACAGTGGTGGACGATCGCATAATATCGTGGAGTGGTTGAAGTTAGACACTAACATCGTTAGATACCATCCAGCTCAGTGATCTATAGGTTAAGCGTTCGCGTGTGAGATCACAGATCCTGGATTCGAGTATTTTTTGGTGTAAGATCGTGGATGTGCACTGTTGAATAGTCCCATACTAGGACAAATCGGCTTTCAGGTTTTCAATTGTGTTCTAACATTGATCCATTCATGATCTCAATTTTTTCTTTTTAACAAATAATTATTTCAAAATTAGTTAATTTTAAGAATAGATTATATACAGTACAATGTGATTTTTAAATGAAGAGCACACAGATTTTGAAACGATGTTTTTATTTAAAATAGTTTACAGACTAGTTAATTTCTTGCTATTTGGTCGGATGGAATTAGATGGACTTAAATGAACTTAAATGTTGCAAAAGTTGTAGTTCGAATCATAAATAGTTTATCAATTACTTCAGGATTGTAAGTATGTCTCGTTGGCATGTGTCAGTTGACAAAAGTACCAAGGTTTAGGACCTGCTAACGATTATTTCCAACAACTTAAAGTCTAGGTACAGTAAACGAAATATTAAATCACTTAAACTAGTGATCATATTACAACCTATTAGATAGAATTAGATCAGTAATAATGGCAAGACAATAATATTATCCTTCACTACTCATCCATAATGACTGAGCTGAAAAAAGGTAGACATACTCTAAATACATGATCAAACAATGAATAATCATGCTGTAATGAATGCAAATAAGTATTATAGGTTCCTGTAAACTGATTTCTTTTAATGTATTTTAGACTCGAACTAAGGAATCTATACTTTAGGACTTTTAATCATTAGTCTGTAGGTAGATGCTTAATCAGAAGTTCATAACAGTCTCAAATCCTATCGACAGCCTAGTAATAAGTACGAACAGATAATGATTTCCATAGAATAAAGAAACACCTGCTTAGTGTTTCCTGGTTTTCTAACTAAAATAGGCCAGTACTGTAAATTGTTTTTAAACGAGAATATTATTATTGATAATCATCAAATAAAGACTTACCACCATCAATGGAGTCTGTTCGACGAATACGACGTCCATGTTTTGAATTATTATGCACAAACATATTATCTGATATACAAAGTAATTTACGTTCAATTGCATGTGTTGATGATATTGCAACCTTCATAAGAATTACAATGAAAACAAGGTAACAAATATAGTTATAAACCCTTTCTTTTCTTCATTATTTCTGGTCATAAATAATCAATAATTTGAGTAAAAAAGAAACTGAACATCAAATAAAATGGTGTTTATTTATTTGCTTAAATTGACTAATTATGTGTTAACCGGATAATGTGTTGGCGCGTTCTTGATTTATGAAAAAAATTGTTGCCAAATTCTAGCGAGGTAATCACCATAGTGATTAGTATTTTTTTCTTTTTATTTGTATTTTTGGTTGAGAAAAAAGACAGAAGTTTATGATGGGAATCATGCGTCGAAATTAGTCAATGTTGAACAGCAAAAAATACAACAGTAACAAGTCTAGTTGAAAACATACGTGATGAATAGGATCTGATCACTGTTGAATCGTCTTTTTGTCACATTTTTGAAAATTCACAAATTACACATATATGAGACGATAATTTTTTTTGGAAAACTACCAACTTTATTTTGAGAATTCCATAGGATTATAAGTTTTGCACAAACCAATCACATCTAAGATAGTGAATCTTGAACGTCAGGCTGAAAGTTTATTTACCCGTATGGATAATTAGCATCTCGGGATTATAGCTGTTGTTAACTCGTCATGGAAATCCTAACCCTAGTTCTAGTCCGAATACCACACATTTGTTTATAACTTTATTTTAGTCCTAGTAAGCAGGTGATACTTATCAAGAGTACTTCGATATCACTAATAGGTTGCCTATAAGTCATAGTCTTGTAGAGAATTACTTCGTTGTAATCGAATGGGAAATAATTAGTGTAAAATCTCAGACTTGGTTTTCAATATAAAATTTAACAATCTTCACAATCCCGTATTGAGAAATTAATTTGTCAGCATGCGTAGATCATATACATCAAGAATACATAAAGATTTTAAGATTGTGATTAGATGCCGCTAACAATTTACAAACTAGGACTGAAAAAGAGATCCTATCTTTCTTTCTTTTTTAAAACTAACCGTTGAATATACGTTGAAATCTCTTTAAAACTGTATTAATTCAAACTTTTATCAGAATAATTATTTTAGCTCATCATAGTTTGATGTCACGGACTTGGTTGATTTAAACTATCAGTGAAAACCAGAAAGTACTAGACAGCTGATTCCACTTAGCATATGACGCCTTTACAGTGTACATTCATTACTCAATCAGAGATTGAATTCAGGACGTTCAGTCCTTGAGACAAGAGTTTAATCGCCAAATAATTGAGTTAATGATCGAATGACTTACATTAACTAGATAATTTTAAATTAATACTTCAATAAGAAAAACAAAATTCATTAATTTGATTATTCTAGCTTAAATATTCATCGGCATTCTTACAGTTGAAGAACATATGGAACTCAAAACAACAACAGTTCTACTGTATAGAGCTGAAACTTCGAGAACTACCACAATCATCATCAAAATGATACAAGTATATCTAAACAATTGTCTATACAAGGTACTCAAGGTCCGTCGGCTGGATACCATCAGTAACAACCTACTATGTGACAGAACAAATCAGCTTCTAGCTGAAGAAAAATTAGGAAAAGACACTGGAGGTGGAAAAAGTATACAATGTGAAAATCACCAAACTGCACCATGAGAGAAACGGAAAAGACGAAGGCCAGAGAACACACAACGCCGAGAATTGGAAACAGATATGAAAAGGATGAATAGTAACTGGAAAGAATTACCCAGAACAAATTTGGTAAACGGCCTATACTCCTCCATGAGAAGTATCAACCGTAAGTAAGTAAGTAACCTTAAATACATTTGATAAAACCAAAAACTCATAGCAAATTAGCATATGTACATAATACACTTTTAGTTCATCAATATATAAATTTGATTAATATCAGATGGGTTTTGTGGATATCATAGTAATTTCAATGGTTAAGATCATGAGTCAGTTGAAGCTAGACCATCATGGAAAATCTGGAAGCACTGGACAGCCGTTTCATCCTATTGTGGGACTCTTCAACAGTGCGCATCCACGACCTCGCCTCCTCCGAGATTCGAATCCAGGACATATCACTTTCGCGCGCAAGCACTTAACCAGTAAACCATTGAGCCAGCATCCAACGGTGTTAATGTCTAACTTCGTGGATTAGTTGAAGTTAGATATAAATTTGAGTCGAATAAAAAACCGCTTAAATTCATTTATTTGTTTTTAGCAAAATCTATGGACACATTAGATACATAGATAGTTAATAAAACATATTTCTTTTTAAAAAAGGGATATGTTACTTTCCTTATGGATAATCATGAATAACTACTCATGGGATTTAAGTATAATCAATTTACTTCTCCATACACAAGCCTATACTACTAACCCAAAAAGTGATGAACTATGTATGTATGTATGTGTGTGTGCGTGTGTACGTGTGTAGGTATGTATGAATGTACATACGTTAGCTATTCTTTTCTCTTTTTACATAGAAATGCCGAAATAATTGAAAAATAAACAAATGAGTAAACAAATATTTATTTACATTTACTATGCATTATGAATAAAATAAATTTATCATTATATATGTAAGTAATCAAGAAGTAACAACTACTTTCATACATTGAACAACACTTGAGATTAGTTCATTCAAAATGAAAATTCATCTTATATTGACCATTTTAACTAGGATACATTGGGATATAAGGCTGTACATGGATAATGACTAAATGATTACCAATGATACAGCTAATATTGTTTATCATTGTCATTTATGTGTTGTAACGTTTTCATTTGAAAAAGAAAACTTTTTTTGTTACTCATTTCAATTTTTCATTGTACTAACTTATTGAAAATTGAAATAACTTGTTCTTGATTTCTACTGAAGTATTTTTTGGTGAGACGGCGAGACTCTAATTTATGGACTAGCTAATCAGAAACGTTATATAGATTTCAAGGTTACGGCGCCAACTTCAGTGCTTAATGCTAACGTACGATCGGTTCACAGGGAATTTTGTACAAAACGTGATAATTGAGTGGCTATAACAAATAAAACGGCGAGTCTATAATTTGTGGATGAATCAATCAGGTATAAGATGATAGATCTCGGATTTTAACGCGAAAGTCTTTCATCCATTTGGCTAAGTAAATTTCTGGCATTATAGCTGATATCAGTTCGTGATGAAAACCCCATGTATAATTCCTAACTAAGGCAAATTACGAAAATTATCGCGAACCGGATAATAAAAGCACCAGTAATACTGGCTGCAACCAGGTACTACAATATATACGGATGTTTGGAGAGTGTACAGACTCCTACATAGGCTTGGTTATGTGCATCGTATCGTTATCCACAAGTAGCATTTTGTGCACTCAACAACCGGAGTGCACATAAACAATATTGAAGCTATGTGGTCTTGGCTGAAAGAGTTTTGAGACTTTATCATGGCTCCAGAGGCCAATTATTCTGTAGCCATATGGGTGATTTCCTCTACTGCATGCATTACGATTTTAGAACCTCTGAACCCCTTACTAACCTTGAAAGGTTATCCACTTTATTTCCTTGTTTTTGTATAATATATTTCTACTCCATACTGACTGTTTGCTGATTGGCTAATATCTCTCAGGGTCACTTAAGACTCATTCAAAGGTCTCGCCTGGCGAGACTCTAATTTGTGGACGAACTAATCAGGTATAAGTTAATAGGTCTAGGATTTTGGCGTAAAATTCATTCATCCATTTGACTAAATAAAGTTTTGGCATTATAACTGATGTCAGTTTGTGATGAAAAACTTAAATATTATTCCTAACCTTAAACGTCAAATGTAAATCACAATTGGAAGCCCTCATACTGGTTTATAACACTCCTTTGGTCTTAGTTATTAGCGTCGCTCAAAAATCGTCTATAAATTTTACTCGCACTGCTTTTTTTCTTTTTTTTTGGAATTGACCTATGTAAATAAACATTTGTAGTGTTTATATCATGAATTGACTTTATTAGAAACTATTGTATCGTTGGATTATTGTTTTATGTTATTATGGAACTTTTTAGATAGAGTTCACTTAAAAACCAACCGGGATTTAAACTTACTGAGGATGTTTAAATTAAACGGTAACATTGTTAGATACTATTTGAAGTAACACTTCTCTAATTGACATATAATATTTTAAACTTGACAACAAAATATCTTTTAACAAATCTCATATAAGATGGAATTATGCTCTAATGATATCAGCACCAGTTTTAGGACTGAATACTAAAGCTCATTTTTTTGGCAGGTCATCGAAAAATAAGGATACTTAGATAGTAGTGGTATGCTCTCAATATTGAATGTTGCTATGAATCTTTATGAGTAGAAATTAATCACAATTAAAAATGGATGATAATTGTAGTGAATGTTAACTCAATTGTGACGATACACTTCTCTCAATGCGAAGCCTCAACGTCCCGGGTTCGAATTCTGATGGATTCCTGGTTAGGTGAATTAGTTCACTGTTACAGTATTTTGAATGATTGTCCAGCTAAAACTGACCTTAATTACATTCACTACAAATATCTCATATCGAATATAAATTATCATTAACATTTATAAGTTTTAATTATTAACTTACTAAGTTTAAGAATAATAAATATAAACTATATATCGTTGAATTCATGAGTCAATTGAAGCTGGAACACCATGGAAGACCTGGAAGCATTGGACGGCCATTTCGTCCTGGTATGGGACTTTTCAACAGTACTTCCAATTATTCCATAATGGTCTAACTTCAATTAACTCATGAATTCAATTATAAAATTACAAAACTTTTCATAAACCCCCCTTCTGGTAATAAACTATTCCAATAGTTGGAATCATGAGTTAATTGAAGCTAAACCATTATGGAAAACCTGGAAGCACTGGACGGCTCATGATTTCAACTACTGAAATTTCTAAAAATCTCCACAAAACCCCTTCTGATAATAATCATCTACTCACAAAGGACTGACTTCAAGAGGCACTTCCTGGAGTTCTAGTTAGAAGCAGTGACCAGTAGTGTTCAACCGGGTTTGTTGTGAGATAGCAACTCACTGAAGACAATGGTGGATGTGTCGCTCAATTTCGTGGATTAATTGAAGTTAGACATTAACACCGTTGAATACCGGCCAGCTTAGTGGTGTAGAGGTTAAGCACTCAAGCGCGAGACAGATCCTGGGTTCGAATCTAGCGAGGCGGGATTGTGAATGAACACTGCTGAAGAGTCCCAGACTAAGACGAAACGGCCTCTCAGTGATTTCAGGTTTCCCATGACGGTCTAGCTTCAATGGACTCATGATTTCAACCATTGAAATTCCTAAAATCTCCACAAAACCTCTTCTGATAATAAACCATTCATTTAGTTTAAAAAAAATTTCATATCATATCGAGTTATCAGTTGTAACTTACTTGAAATCGGCGCATATCACGTGGATTACCAGCATTTTTTAAACAGTTCTGATTACATTTCATAAAGAATTTAAGAAAATGTCTAAAACATAATGAATGTTGGTTTGACAACAAAAAGACAGAAAAAAAAGAGAGAAAAAAAAGCAAAAATGAGATTGTTGTAATGAAGTTTCATTTATAAATACTTTATTCTTTACTTCATAAATTACTTATTACAGATAGAAATGACAATTTAAAACTAATGAGATAACTTAAGAGTTAAGACAATGTTAAGGGTAGAATGATCCATTGTTAAATAAACTTTCAATCAACCTACATTAGAATTCATTTAGTCATATGATGTTGTAATACATCATGCATAAAGCTTTGATTTACAACTTGGATGTGTTTTTTTCTCTTGTGTAAAGACCATTGTATTCTAGGCCTTCTTTTGTTTCTTGAATATTAGTCATTATCCTTGTGGGAAATAATCAATTTAGGAGTATAAACTATCGTAGATAGTCATATCATTGCTAGTCATTATTAACGTAGAGCCTGGTCCCAATGTATACTGGTCAAAGTGGTCAATATAAGATGGATTTTTATTTTGAATAAAATGATCTTAAGTACCGTTAAAAATGTGAAGATAGTTGTTAGTTCCTTCTTCTTGAGGAATCTCAGTAAGAAATTGATATAAGGATGGCAGTGACAACTCGCGATCGTAACCGCAGTGTCCGCGTGACAAATGCTTGACGTTGATCATACATAGCCTCATTGTGAGTAGTTTCACATGCATTAGCTACGTGCATTTAAGGTCTTATTACTTGACATAGAAATCTTTGGTTTGCTGTGAGGTGTGTTTTCTTTATGACTGGCATTTTCAGCCCTCTTCTTTCGTGATGAGAAATCGGCATCTCTGCAGATGCCAGTTGTCTGACACCTACTTTACTGTACTACAATTCAGTACCGTCAACAGTACAACTTCACCCTCAAACTGTATATTTTCTGTTTCTAGTCTCACCATTCTCCAACCAACCTGTCTGACTTGTTAGGACCTAAAGAAACAAATATCTCTAATATAGCTTGATTAGATCATCATAATATGCAAAGCTGACAACCATATTAAGTTAGCAGTTAAATTTCAGTATAGGGGTTGTGGAAATTATTAAGTTTTTTTATTGAGATCATGAACCGATTGATCTTAGATCACCATTGAAAATCTAGAAGCACTGGAAGGCTGTTTCGTCCTATTGTGGGACTCCTCAACAGTGCGCATCCACGATCGCGCTCGCGGAACTAGCTCCGTGAAGGAATTCTCGGAGTTCTAGTAAGAAGCTGTGACCAGTGGAACTAATATGTGTCGGGTAGAGACAAGTATCTACCTAAGTACAATGGAAGATGGTCGCTCAATTTCATGGATTGGTTGAGGTTAGACATCAACACCACTAGATACCAGCAAGCTTAGTGGTCCAGCAGGCTAAACGTTCGCGCGCGAGACTAAAGACCCAGGATTCGAGTCCCTCGAGCGGGATCGTGGATGCATACTGCTGAGGAGTTAATTCTCAGTATTCATTTGCCTATTTCATTCATCATAACCATACTTATTACTAAATGTTTACTCTTTGATTCGAAATCAATTTATTTATAAATAAATAACAGCAGGGTGTCTCATCTCTCTCCCTTCCTCTAACAGACTTTTATTCATTTCAAACAAATGTAATTAAATGAAACTTGCATAAACGTATACAATTTGTATAAACGTATATTGTTTATTCTGAATGAGTCTTTCAAATGAAGATGCATGAAAACATGTGGAATAAAAAAATAAAAAGAAGAAGACCAAAAAAAGAGAATATCAAATTAGACTGAATTATGTTGATAATGAAATATTTTATTGTATATTGTATTAATATATAAACATAACGAGAAATTATATCTGTTTATATTACAGTCACGTGTATGATATTACTACTACTCACACTACTACTACTATTACTACAAGCATAAACATTAAAACTGCTTTAGATTATAGTTGTTTGAATAGTATGAAAAGATTATTGTTCAAACTAAGTTCTAACCTTGAATTCCCCCCCTCCAAATCGCGTGTTTCTGTAATAGAGCACTTGAAAAAGAAATGAACTAATAAATCCACTTGTTTACTTGGATGTTTTCATTGATGTTTAGGACTGAAATTGATCAGTCTTCTATTGGCATTTGTGTATACTGTGCGTATTGCTTCGATATTGCCTTAATTCACAAGCATTCTAAGCTTGGATAGATGGTGGCTAGCAGTGGAATCCAGAACACGCACCATTTCGTCTTATTTAGGACTCGTCAGCCGAGATGTATCTGCATCTCGAGCACAGTACCGTTCTCTTTATACGCCATCGCATTATCCAAATAGGACGAAACGCGCATCCTAGATTCCACTGCTAACCACTATCGAACTTTGCTTGAAATTAACTAATGTCTATAATAATTAACAAGACATATTACTGAAATGAATAGAATCATTTATATGTAACTAAATAGATTTTAAGTTTGATATACCTATGTATTCCAGACCAAAGTATGTTAATTTTAATCTCTTACCTTTCTTTTCCAATTATAGTTTATTCTGTGTATACTATGACTGTATTTGAATGATCTGTATACATTTTTTTATTTCAATAGCTATTTGGAACGTAAAGTAATGTAATGATAGTCACTATTTTTGTTTGGTTAAATGTTTTGAAAGAATAGGAATTGAAGAATAGTTGAATTGTAGGTAGCGCGGAATTTAGGACATGCATGAGTTCCCTCGAGATTACAAGTACACTTTACTTATGAGTACCAAATAGCACCAAACCTAGCTCTAAGGTATCCTGTCAAATACCTCCAACCACCATCTTATATTATGTGTTATTTAATAAGACAAGTATAAGAATGAAATATGTTCTACTTCAACTTCTGCATTATCAGTTTTCAACAACTTACAAATAATGATATATATATACCACTTTTAATTAGAGAATTAATAGGGGTAAAATAGTTTTCATTAGTTGTCTAATTAAAATCAGTCGGTGTTATAAATTATGAAATCATCTCCATCAACCTCACTAATGACTGACTTTGAGAGATAATTTCAATAGTCCTAATGAATCTCTGACTAGTGAAGTTCAACTATGTCGGATGGGAGTCAATTACCTAAAAAATGTTATTGGAATATGGTTATATATAATGTCACGAATTGATTGAACGTAGGCATATAAGCTACTAGATATCTATGAGTTAAGCATCCACTGTGAAATCTGAATATCCTGTATACGACTCCTGCTATAGTCATATATTCGTACTGTTAACCAGTACCATATTAAGATGAAATAGAGGTTTAGTGTTTTTAGATTTCTAATGATTATCTAACTAGAATCAGTCCTCCATGCATACTACATTGTAGTGGTACAGTTTTGTCCAATCTACTATTTTTTTTCAACTATGTCTACAGAATGAATTTAAGTATTATTTTATTCAACTATTTTATCCGAAGAATTTACATCCTCTCTTACTACAAAAAGGAAAACAATTGTGTTCTAATGAAGTTCATTAGTTTATTTATTGTAAATTTATCACAAAATACCTTATGTCATTAATATAAATAAACTTTAACATATACACATTATCAGTTGTACCCTACCTATCCCCTTAACTAAACACAGATTCTTTTTGTCTTTCAGAAAGATTCAGAAAGAAAGAAAGAAAGAAAAATTTATATTCACTGACAGTACAGTTCGTGACTTTATTACAATTTTAAAAAGAAAAGAAAAAAGAAATATTCCCATGTGTTTAATATGTCAATAGGGCAAATATATTTACTCTGATTCTACATTTTCCCTACTCTTTTTTTCTTTCATTCTCTCTCCCGCCCCTCCCCTCTTTCTCTCTCTAGTTCTCGTTCTCTTTTCTTCATTGTTATTCTAATTTAATTGAATTTTTAAATGATATACAATAAGAGATATTTCATTCATATCAATATCTTTCACCCTGTTTTTTTCTAATTATTTAAGTCATTTGTTAACTACGTGGAAAACTTTTCCCAAAAAAATGTGTGAAATTATTGTTTTTTTTTAAAACAGTAACTAAACCAGAGACAGAGAGAGGGGGGAAGGATGGATGGATGGATGGAGGGGGGGTAAAAAATAACGTAACTGTCTATCATATTTTCACTTGATTGTATTGTGTTCTATCTATCTATATAGTTTGACAATTTTTCTTAATAAATCAAAACACAATCAGATTTCTTTCCTGTGTTTCTGACAGTTTAAAAAAAAAAATAATGTTCTATTACTAAGAGTGTTTCTGTTAACAGCTGAAAAATTTGATTGATAGACATGTAAGAGGAATGATGATGATGATGATATATAAGTGGGATCTTTCAAATGTTCCATTCATGTTAATCCAAATTAACTTTATTACCGGTAGTGATTTCAACTTAATATTTTAAATATTTAAATGGTTTGTACTTTATTTAGGGTGAAAGTTAGAGAGGGTAAACAAAAGGTTAACTGATGTTAATTATCCATTATATATATATATATATGTGAGAGATGATAACCTTTATATTCTTGATGGTAGAAAATTGCGCCGATGATGTTGCTCAGAAGAATGATAAAAGGTTCACAATTAAGCCAATTAATTCAGTGAATAAAAATTTACCAAAAACATCTACCTGAGCTACAAATCTCCCTCCATGTATATATGATTTCGTACCCGTTAAACAGGTTTATGGATAGCTATATTTCATAGCTCAATAAGTCATGAATTGACTTCTGAAACTATAACTATTCTGTTCGGATCTCAGTGAAAACATTAACGTCGGAGTTTATATATATATATATATATAGCTGACGACTCCTACATAAGAAGAATCACTAGTCTTGGATTCGATTTTTAGATACGATCCGATTCTACTGAATTTTGTGATCAGCACGTAAATATACTTGTAGAGAGGCTGATCATATAGAGTCTTCAATATCAACAATATAAAATATAAACCCTTAAAACAGATAAGTGCTTTATGTTTATGTTAACCTCAAACGTATCTATTCACAAGCGAGGATATGATCAGACCTTGATGAACATAACATTATTCTTTATCCAGCGATTAGTGGATGTCAGTAGTGGCCTAAATAGTACAGTGGTAATGTCTCATATTGTGTCACACTAGTTCGAACCTCAGACAGACTACCAGTTTCAGATAGATTTCAAGTAATATTTGCTGAAAAGTACAAAGGATGAAACCTAGGTCGATGAAAGCATCCTATCGACTGCCTCCAACTACCTAACACTAAAATGATATTTAGATATTTCAATGTAGTCTTCATTAACAATTGACGTTAGTTGAAACAGAAATTAATCAGTAGCATTAAATGGTGATTATTTCCTTTCATGCAGTGATTACAATTGAAAATATGAACTATCGGCTTACAACTCTACGGTTTTATTGTATTAAGAAACCATTGGAAATTATCAGTTCGACATCGTATAGAATAGTGGATAGCTAAAAGTTTTAAATTAGGACGAAATAACTAACCAATTTTCGATTATTGAAAGCCTGAAAGCAATGGATGGCCGTTTCGTCCCAGTATGGAACCGTGGATCAGTTGAAGTTAGACATTAACACCGTTGGATACCGACTTAATGGTCTAGAGGTTAAGCTTTCTCATGTGAGACCAAAGATCCCAGATTCGAGTCCCACATGTGAGATCGTAAAGTCGCACGAAATGACCATCCATTGCTTTCAGGTGTTTTCAATAGATTCAACCATTAAAATTACTACGATTGCCACAAATCCCCATTCTGATAATTTTTCATTAGTTGATGATAAGCATTACTCTTATTCACAAGAATTCTATCACATCTCATGAAACTATTGATTCATTATCATTTCGTTTACTTTACTATTTTTATTCTAGTCCTATTAATTAACCCTTTTTCTTTTCCTTATCTTTAAAAATGATGGTTAATCTGTCGAATATAATTAACATTTTCAAAAGTTGAAATGATAAGATGTATTTTAATGAAAATGAGAAACAAAACCAAATTCTAAACAGAACAACAGTGAAACATATAGACAACATAACTTTCACTGATAGATATGAGTATGTATGTATATATGTGTTAAGCTTGTGTATATACTGGGATAGTTAATAGAATTACGTTGAATGTGTACACTATTGGATATGAAATGGATTGATTAGTATGTAATCGAATTCCTAGGTTGAAATGAGTTCATTCCTACTATTATTATTACTGTTATTGTTACTGCTTATGGCTTTTGTTCCCTTTTTATCCAGTCAATTTGTGTATATTCTCTCGGTTTGTGCATATATCATCATTAGTGATGATATAATACAAAAAAAGTATGTTGAAGAAATAGATAATGAGATTTGACATTTTATTTATAAAGTATTATTATTAACATTTTCTGAATGATATATGCTTTAACAAAAGTTGATATATCAAAAACTATTTGAAAATATACTACTTAAATGAACTCAACTATAATGGAAAGTATATATGACTGTGATGTGTTTTACTTATATCGATAGACATAAGTAGTATATAATGCCAATCAGAAATGGAATACCTGGCAGTAGAAGTTTGAAAAGATTGATTACAAGAGAACGAGAGCAGAGAGTGATTGGTATAGAAATAAAGGAATAATAAAGTCTGAGATAATTGATTGACATTTTGCAAATGAATTATTTACTGTATGGTTCTCATAGTTTACTAAGAGATTCTATAGTTTAATTTACTAGAAACCTTAAGCCTAGACCTTGTGTTTGTTGATTTCCATCAGTTTAGAGTAACTAAGATATCGTGGGAAACTCATACTCCTTGAAGGATTCGACTAAAAAAACATTAGGTTGATCAATATAAATATTACGATCTTCGCGAAGCTCAGTCATGTCCCGAATGATTCAGAGGTAACATCTTCGACTGTGGTTCTGGGTGGCGTTTGTTCTAATTACATAGAGAGAATCAGCCTCTTTATGATTAAAGGTACGCTTTGTTAACAGGCACCAGCTAGTACGTAACATATATCCAGGATTTTTGTGTACTACGTCAGACCCTTTAATATTAAAATATAATATATATGATCTCAAGTCACTTAGGCTAATGACCACACTGCAAATTGATATACAGAATTTAAATCAACATTAAAGGATTAGACAAACATAATATTGGTCGGAACGTTTATGTTGATATCAGTTTAATTTTAGTTGGTTTGGGTTACAGATTAATATCATCTGAGAGAATCATTGAAAGCTAAGGAGAATCGAACAGCCGTTTCATCCTATTATGAGACTCGTCAACAATAAGAACATCACAACTATACTTGGAATTAAACCCAAGATATTTAAGTCTCACCGTGAACATATCGAAAGTCCAACTGAAACCAATCCATGATGACATAACAACCAAAATGCAAATTTATTACTTCTCGAAATAATAACCACATAGTATTTAAGATATTCAAGTATATTATAAACTAATTTGCCAATAAAAGCATTTGATTGGATTACTACTAAGACTCTTTATATCAATAACTTATTTTTCTTCATGGATTTCATCATTGGACAATTGTTTTGCCATAGAATGGAACTCTTCAGAAGCGGATATGAAGGATTCTACCAGGGGTCAAGATCAGGACTTTCGAGTCTTGTGCTGAACATCAGACATTGTAATATTTGTTCATTAGGACATCACTACTTCAGGTTTGTGAACAATCACATTGAGTCAAATTAATCAAATCTTGCCTACACATTCATAAATATTTTATCATTAATAACATTTATATATGTACCGGGTTTCATAGGTTTTTCGGCCTTATCAGTTGTTGATGTGTTGTATGGAATAATTTGTCATAAGTTAAAGGTCATCGAATATAACCAAAAATTACCTTTTACAACAACTACGAAACAAATATATATACTCACCTATCTAAAATGACAGGATCTGATGGTGTTTCATTTCGATTACCACAACTTTTTCTTTCACAACATCGACTACACATTACTTCATGTGTAAGTAGTACTCGACACATTTCTGGATTTTTATCTTGTCCTTCATAGGCAATAGGCTTTAGGAAAATAGAAATTCATTAAAAAAAAAACACAGAATGATTAAGAAAGAATAAAATGCCATAGATGTATTGAATGTCACAAAAATTTGTTGTCTGTGAAATGCTTAACTGATTTATGCTTGGCACTGAAACTCCGAATTCGTCAACACAAGCAGCGAGCATAAAGATTGGTAATATAGATTCAATTGACCCCAGAAATAAATCATATTGATATCTGAGTGCGCTAATTTTTATATGATTCATTTACAATCAGAATTGAATTGAATGGTATTTAACATTTATTAAAGAGAAAGGGTTTTTTGTGGATATTATAGTAACATAATAGTTGAATTCATTATTCGATTAAAGCCAGACCACCTTGGAAAACCTGGAAGCACGGGACGGCCATTTTATCCTAGTATGGGACTCCTCAGCAGCGCGTATCCACGATCCCGCTCTTGGAATTCGAACCCAGGATCTACCGGTTTCGAGCACGAACGCTTAACCTCTACACCACTGAGCTGGCCGGTATCCAACGGTGTCACCGTCGAACCCCACTGGTCACTGCTTCTCACTAGAACTCCAGGAAATACCTCTTGTAGACCGTCACTAGTGAGTATATAATGACTATAATCAGAAAAGGATTTTTGTGGATATTATAGAAATTTATCAAACAACCAATTACTATGAGGACACATATTTACAATATCATACAATCAGACATTTATAACTAATGAATATAACTAATTTATCAACTTATATAATTACTCCTTCCCAGATAGTGATTATATGTCACAGATGATTGAGAAGAATCAATTTCGCTTGTCATTCACGCTTCAATCGATTTAGTTATTGCACGCTATATCAATACATATCAAATGGATTTCGATACCAGTAAATTATAGTGAAGCCGTTAATTATCCCTTATTGATATCAGTCTAAGCAAGTTATATTGAAATGATGTAACAGATTAACCAGTGTTCTGAAGTAAATATTGTTATAATGTTAAATATATGATTTAACTTTTTTCTATTATCTGTTATTATCTATTAATCAGACTTGTATGATTTATGACAGAAATTTGAAGATAGAATAAGTAAAGCTATGAACAAATTCATTGATGGGTAGAGAATACAGGAAAATTATCTGGTTCCACTAATCTCTAAGAATATCAAATGATATGAACTGAAGATCTTCGAAGAAAATGAACTTTAAAACAATGTTTTCATGTTACCAACTGATGGATCACTAGATATCATACCGTCTCAAATTTTAGCCCAGTGATCTATTTCGATCATGTTTACTGAAAATCCTGAAGATTCTCTTTACTAGAGCTCACATAATTCGATATATGATCATCACTAATTAGTCCTAAACTATAATCAAACATATCCAAGGTTCCTCCTGGTTTTCACTGATATCAATTTATGAGGACAATTATCTTCAATAATAAAAAGATCTAAATAAAGTCAAACATGTTTTTACTTTTTACATAGGTTGGTTATTGAATGGTGATCAGTATTACGTTTGTTTAGTCATTTAGTGCTAAATCAAATTCTATCTATTAAGTTGTAATTTGTTCAACACTAGTCTAAAATGACTCGGCATCGAATGCATAATGCCTTGATATCAAGTGGTTAAAGATAGTCGACAGGAACTCCTGTCAATTATTTGTCAATATTTCAGTCCTACAGAAATCCAGTCACAGCTCAAATAGTTCTGCTTCTTGACGATACTTTTTATATGAAGTATAACATGAAGATAAACTCGATAATGAATCATTGAGAATGATTATATAGTAACAGATAATATACAAATTATGAGTGTTTTTGTCTTTCATCAAAGTATGAACAAAGTATTCATATTATATACACTTTAGAAAAGTATCAAACTATTTGGGGGTGGGGGTGGGCTGGGGGACAAATTTCATGATAAAAATAAGTCAGAATTAAACATTTAAAAACTTTTTTTAGTCAATTGTTGAAAATTCTGTTGTTACAACGACACTTAGTTAACTGATACAATGAAGTGAGTAACTGGTATAGGTTTAACTATTAATTTACTTCGATGACTAACAAGTAGTAGTAGTAGTAGTAGTGAAGTGTACGCTACTTATATTGACGGATATAAGTAGGATGTATCACCAATCGAAGATGAAATGCCGGGTGGCAGAAGGTTGAGAAGATCGAATAAAAGAGAATGAGAGCAGAGAGTGGTTGTTATGAAAATAAAAGAACAATCAAGTTTGAAACAATTGATTGACAAATTGCAAATGAATTGTTTACTGCATAGTTCCCAGATTTCGCTAAGAGGTTCTGTGATTTTGTACTCGAATACATTTGGTTGTTCCCATTGGTGTTCTCATTCACGACAGTAATAATGATAGTAGTAGTAGTAGTAGTAGTGGTAGTAGTAGTAGTAGTAGTAGTAGTAGTAGTAGTAGTAGTAGTAGTAGTAGTATTAGTAGTATTAGTGTAGTGAACAAGAACACGGGTGGGGACAATCGATTGTATTTAGCACAAAAATTACAGACTATCTCAATAAAATGTGAATATCATAAAGTCAATTTTCAATTTGCAAAATATCATTCGATCATATCAAACTGTACTGTTCCCGTTGCAAACACTAATCCATTGTCGCCCATTCCATTGTACATGCGTTTTCTAACAATTCCATTGTGTTCTTGCTCTTCCTTTCTTGAACTTCGCCATCTTCTGCTGCCGGATATTACGTTCTTTTAACGCACGTTATATACTACTTATATCAATATAAGTAGCTCACACCAAAGTAGTAGTAGTAGTAGTAGTAGTAGTGTTTAGTAGTAGTAGTAGTGGTAGTAGTAGTAGTAGTAGTAGTAGTAGTAGTAGTAGTAGTATTGGTAGTAGTAGTAGTAGTGTTAGTAGTAGTAGTAGTGTTAGTAGTAGTAGTAGTGGTGGTAGTAGTAGTAGTAGTAGTAGTAGTAGTAGTAGTAGTAGTAGTAGTAGTAGTAGTAGTAGTGGTAGTGGTAGTAGTGGTAGTAGTGGTAGTAGTGGTAGTAGTGGTAGTAGTGGTAGTAGTGGTAGTAGTGGTAGTAGTAGTAGTAGTAGTAGTAGTAGTAGTAGTAGTAGTAGTAGTAGTAGTAGCAGTAGTAGTAATCTTTATTAATTAATGCTTTTAAGTGGATAAAATTTTCAGTGAAACGATCTGATAACCTGTTATTACTCAATAAATAATAGAAAAAGAATTATCAATGAAAGTCATTTCTCATTCACTTATTTAACTTACTTGTTTTGTAGATGAATCCACCAATCGAATATATAAATCTTGATCTTGTTGAACACCTGAAATAAAAATTTATTCAGAACGATTACTTGATTAAGTGACTTGGCATCATGGTAAAATTCATTTGGTAAACGATATGAAGCTGATATCCTTTCATTCAGCTGAATGAATTTACTGTAAAGTAGATCAATGAGATTTACTCAATATTAAGAACTAAACAATTTAATACTTATCACTATGCGGTAGTTGTTCAATATCAACATCTCAATCATATAGAAGGTTGATGTTATTTAACCGTGTCATCAGAAGTTGATTCTTGTCTTTGATGGAGAACCAATACTTTCATTATTGGAGTTACTACTCACTGATGCATATCAACTGACACAAAACATGGATCCAAGGTTTCCTGCTGATGACCTTCCATGATAATGCGTTGTTTATCAATCATTTCTGTAAATATTATGTGATTTTTTTGTAATAATCACTCTTTAGTTTTATTTCATTGTACCTTTTTCATAAATAATGGATAAAGTAGTTGACGAATACGAAGGTTTATTGATCAGTAAATGTGAGATATTGGTTACTTCAGACTGCTTAGATAATGTTAGGAAAATGAAAGAATCGAATTCCAGATTAATGGGTAAATATCAATCATGATCATTGATACACCTGAATGCACATAGTTTTGTTTTTCACAATCATGAAAGTGAGTAGTAGAGCAAAAAGTGTAGATAAAAATAGTATGGTTTACAATTTTTTCCAGTTGATGTTGTCAAGATGCTCATGATAAATTCAGTTCAGTTCAGTTCAGGTAAACTTCAGTATTCGTTATTAATTGAAGAGATAAGTATTGTTACGGAATATTTGTGAATATTATTGAATTTCATAGTTCACAAACGTATTTTAGTGAGATAATCACCGAAAAAACCAGAAGACAATGTGTAGCTGTCTCACCTGAGTACTGGATGCCTCAACAGTGTGCATCTATGACCCAGGACTTTTAGGTCTGGCGAAAATGATTCGATACTGTCTCAGTCGCCTAAGATTTAAGCCCTTACCGTGAAGCCTAGAGTTCTTGGGTTCAGTTCTAGTTGAGATCGTGCGTGTGCACTGTTGAAAAGTCCCATACGAGGACTAAACAACTGCCTAGTTCATTTAGATTTTCATTAGCTGTCTTTCTAGGATCAACCCGTCATATATTTATTAAAGAGATAAGAATAATGTGGTTTGTGAATTATCCACTACTCTCTGTTTTCCAATGATTTTATAGCTTATGTCCTTCGTAAATGAAAGCTTTCAGTAAGGATTAGATATGGTCAATAAATATCAATAAACAAGCTAAGCTAGACAATTATCGTTCTCAACAACATTATCACCACTTACTTCATGTAGAAGTGAGCTTCTTAATCATTCCACATGTACTAAACCCCCTTGTTCTGTTAGTAATCAATAATAAATAAGGACATCAGAACAAATGGATTAAATACTTACGGAACAGTGAAAAAGCTCATTGCTGCATTAAGTAAACAGTGATAATATTGTTCACAACAAAAATGAAAGCTACACAAATAAACTATCTAGTTCAGAGAGCTCAACAATACCAAAATTATAAGTATAGGAAATTATAGAGATTACTGAATGATATTAATATCACGAACCGACCTAAGTTAGACATCCATTGGAAATCAAGAAGCACTGGAAAGCTGTTTCGTTCTAGTATAAGACTCTTAACAGTAATACATCTCCTCAACTCTACCAGCTCTTGAACATGGGAACTTCTGTCTTACGGACGAACGCTTAGCCTCCAGATTATTGTGTCAAGTCATGAATGAGTCCCATACTAGGATGAATCAGTTTTCTAATGCTTACTGGTTTTCAGCACATATCTATCGGTTCATGATATTCATAACACTTAGATTATAAATTTATCTTAAACACCTTTCTATTGAAGTTGATTTGTTTTTTTAATTAGCCTACTTATCATTAAGGTAGTCTCAAAATTATTTCCAAAAGACAAAGAAATATATATCTATTTCCTCATAGATTTCAGCTTTGTTTTTTTTCTCTTCAAACATCTTCTCCTTTGTTTCATTACTGTCAAAATCACTTTCATATTATTAACTTAAATAAGCCACGTGTAATACTTGTCGGTATCTCGGAGTTTATTATTATTTTTTAATGAAGTCATATCATTAAAATAATAACCACAGAGAGAGAGTGAGAACGAGTGAGTGAGCGAGTGAGTGAGTAGGAAGTGAGAGGAGGTGGTAGTACAGAGCAATCAATAATACTTATCTGGTTATTATAAAGAATGAGTTAATCACTTATTATCTTTACTTTTAAAAAAAAGAATAACAAATCGAACGAGAGAGAGGAAAAATTACGATAAACAAGTTTACCACTCCCACTTATTGACATTTTTGACATGATAACACACATGTCTTTAATTGGTTACATAAAGAATAATTGGCAAGATCAAATTGTTTTCATAACTGATGTGTTATGAGTATAAATAAATGGTAGACTATTTATTTATCATTTCTATCTATTCATAATAAAAGCTATAACACGTGCCTAATGTTATTATATAGATATATATAATGAGTAATATCAGATAGGTTTTGTGGATATTATAGTAATTTCAATGGTTACGATCATGAGTCAGTTGAAGCTAGACCATCATGGAAAACCTGGAAGCACTGAACGACTGTTTCGTCCTATTTTGGGACTCCTCAGCAGAGCGCATCCACGACCTCGCCCCCCTGCACGGTTCGAACCCAGGAACTACTGGCTTCGCGCGCGATCACTTAACCAGTAGACCACTGAGCTAGCCGGTATTCAACAGTATTAATGTCTAACTTCAACTAATTCACGAAATTGAGCAACACATTCACCATTGTCTTCAGTGAGTTGAGATCTCACAACAGACCCGGTCGAACTCCACTGTTCACTGCTTCTCACTACAACTCCAGGATATACCTCCTGAAGCCAGTCACTAGTGAGTATATGTTGATTAATATTAGAAGGCGTTTTGTGGATGTTATAGGAATTTCAAATGTTTTCACAACCGATGTGATATGAGTATAAATAAATGGTAGACCAACTATTTATCATTTATATCTATTCATAATAAAAGCTATAACACGTGCCTAGTGTTATTATATAGATATATATATAATGATTATTAAGTGGAATTCTTACTGTAGCATTGTTTTCTCCCTAATATATGTGATATTAGTTAAACTTTTAAAGAAAGTGATTATGAATATTGAGTTGATTACAAAAGAGAATTATTCACTTATGTATGAGTTATTATGGAATATTTAAAGAATTCTTTTATAGAAATGATTATCCTACGATACATTGATCATATCTATGGAAGTTATATCATGTTTACATTCATGCCTATATACTTTGATTTGGCTGGGTGGATTAGATGATCAACTGTTACCTAGTTGAGCAGTTAGTTTAAGATTCACTTCATCTAATTCGTTTTGAGCAATCCAAAAGTAATATAAACTAGTAATTTGTAAATGTTATATTATTTTATTATACTATACTATAACTGGTTGCTATGAATAAAAACAGTTATGAGATGTTGTTCATAGAAGTACCTAAGGAATATATTTATTTCATAAAAATACTTTCATTGATCTATGTTATCACTTAAAACTGATAGAGATCAAACTTTGTATCGTTAGCTTCAACTGACTCATGATTTCAACCTGTGAAGTTTTATTCAATTTAGTTGGGTATAGTTTTGAAGATTTTTCTATATTTAAGCTTACAAAGTAATTGAAGTTGGAGTGATCAGTCACTGATACATAACTTTGTAGTTTAAATATATTTTCAGTTCAACCTCATAAATAGTACTACGCTGAAAATGAATCGATTATTTAATGTTATCTAATTTTCAGTGACATCCCAATTGACTTGAGTTCATGATTGGAATCGATAAAAAAACTTAGGATATCTATTTGAGGTATCTTAACATTTTACTGTAGCCTCAAGAAATTTTTTTTACATGGTATCGAAGTCATATAGCTAATACTAATAACTTTAAACAATAAGCTGATTTAATTATATGAAGTAAATAATTAACTCAGTACTTTTAATAGTTGAATTCATGGATCGATGTAAGCTAGACCACAATTGAAAACCTGGAAACGCTACAGGGCCGTTTATTCCGTGTTGGGTAGAGACAGGTATCTACCCAAGACAATAAATGAATAGATGCGCACGATCATAGGTCGATTGAAGTTAGATATTAACACCGTTGAATTCCGTCCAACTCAGTGGTCTAGAAGTTAAGTGTCCAGGCATGAGACCAAAGGTCTTGAGTTCGAGTCGTTTCGGTGTGGTATTGTGGATTAGCACTGGTGAGGAGTCACATACTTGAACGAAACGGCTATTCACTACTTCCAGGTTTTCAATGATGATCTAGCTTTAATCGACTCATGAATTCAGCTATTAGAATTACTACAATCTCCACAAACCCCCATTCTAATCATAACTTTGTTTTTAATCAACGTATATATAGATTACAAATTAGTGAATTATTCACTAACTTTTAATATGTAAGTTAAAAATAAAGTATAAACATTCAATAATGATCATTTTTACAAAACGAAATATAATCTATCCTTTAGGAACTTCAAACATACCATTAGCAAATAGTAAACGTATTCGATAATGAATTCCATTGTTGGTTTTTTCACCCTCCGGTTCCTATAATAATTAAGGAAAGAGGTCGGTTAATAAGCGATAATAAAAAAAGTTATTTATTACTATTTTCTAGTATTACTGCATAACTAATGGTAGGTGAATGACCTACATCAACAATATATATAATATTTTGATTGAGATCATGAACCAATTGATGTTAGACCACCATTGAAAACCTGGAAGCACTGGAGTTCTGGTGCGAAGCCGTGACCAGTGGAGCTAATCCGTGTCGGGTAGAAACAGGTGTCTACCTCAGTACAATGGAAGATCGTCACGCAATTTCGTGGACTGGTTGAGGTTAAACATTAACACCATTGGGTGCCGGCTCAGTGGTTCAGTAGGTTGAGCTTTTGCTTTCGAGACTGAAGGCCCTGGGTTCAAATCCCGCGAGCGGGATCTTGGATGTGCACTGCCGAGGAGTCCCACAATAGGATAAAGCGGCCGTTCAGTGCTTCCAGGTTTTCTGTGGTGGTCTAACATCAATCGGTTCATGATCTCAATCAAAAACTTAACAATCTCCACAACCAATAGACTGATAATATATATAATAGTCAATCTTATTGAATAAGCCGACCAATAATTTAATGATCAACTATTCTATCTTCTGTTACTTATTTATTATTGGGTATCATATTACTAATTCATAATAATGAGTAGTTATCATTTGGTAGGATATTAATTGATTCAAGCGAATGATTGTTTAAAGATCCCTATCATATTAAAAGACTAATATATGAATAAAGAATATTCTTTGCAATAAATTCTGTTCAGGTTCTAAAATTATATATTCAAATTAATGATCCGAAAAATGATCAGATTGAGGGTAAACTGCATCGTTTAAAGTTAAAGCATGTGAATTTAGAACTGTTAAATAAAATAGGACAAAGTGGTGCGTGTCCTGGATTCCACTGCTAGTCACTATCCATCCAAGCTTAGGATGCTTGTGAATTAAGGCAATACTCACAGTATGCACATATACCAATAAGAGACTGATCAATTTCAGACCTAAACATCAATGGGAAAATTCAAATAAACAATACCAAGTGAATTTAAAATAGAATAAAATTGTTCATGTTGATATGACTCATATAGAGTGATATAACATGGATCAGCTTATATGTTAAATGAAAATTTTAAGATCCATGATGAGAATAAATATGGATCAGATAGTTAGAGAGAAATAATAGTGTAATTACAATTCTGTCAAATGTTTAATGGAAGACTATGTTGTGTGAAATATTAGTAAGACGTAGTGAGGTGGGATGAATGCGAAGTAAATGAATCATGTATTGGGGAGATGAATAATGATGTTTAACCAATAATAATAATAATACAAAGATTTGTCACTGGTTGAAATCATGAGTCAACTGAAGCTAGACCACCATGGAAAACCTGGAAGCATTGGACGGCCGTTTCGTCCTAGTATGGGACTCCTCAGTAGCTTCAATTGACTCATGATTTCAACCAGTAAAGTTTCTAAAATTTCCACAAAACACATTCCGACAAAGATTTGTGTGTAAAGATAACAGAGACTATGAAAGGTCATAAGTACGATAGTCAAATTAGATCATTAAATAGCTAAGGTTACTACTGATTATTTGGCCTTGAGGTTGGCCAGGGAAGAAGTAGTTGAAGATATTTCTTTTGTACTCATAGCTCAGGTTTCTTCATCCGGATGGCTACTGCTTCAGCCATTTGAAGAACTTTAAGTCCTTGGATTGGTTTATACTGGCACTATGTAAAATCTAACCATTTTAAATGATACACAGTTATATTTGGTCATATATTATTTACAACTAAATGCCTAGCCAAATGAATCTGTTTCTAATTATTTGTGAAAATTAATTCGTTATTAAAGGAAATTACCATGAAAATAACAGTGAACAAATAAAGGAATAATTGGTGAGACTATAATTTTTGGACGACCTTTGAACAACCCTAAACTGACCTTGGTAATGTTCGTCTACTAACTAGAACTAAATGAAAGATATAAAGGAATGTGAGGAATTAGAATTATGATTTACAATCGATGGTTAAGGTTAGGAATTAGATTTATAGTCTTCATCACGAACTGACATCAGCTGTAATACCGAAATAGTATTTAGCTAAATGAGTATACGAATTTCGCGCTGAAATTTGAGACCCGTTGTTTTAAATATGATTGGTTCGTTCATAAATTATAGCCTTGTTGTCGTAACATAGTTTCTTATTTCATACGATTATGATTGTTATTCGATTCGATGTAGATCAAAAGGGCCATGGTAAACTGGAACTCCACCCAGAGCCCCTCTGGGGCTACTGTCAGTCCCAAGACCGGATAATGGAGGAGGGTTGGGAACGGGGTTAGCGACCCCATCCCGTAGAAAACTAACTCGCTGAAAAAGTAGTTTTAACCAAGTAAGTAAGTAAACTGGAACTTGGGACAGAGAAAGGCTGGGATTTAAGTGACACAAGAAAGAAGAAACTGATGGTAGAAGTTGATTTTATTTAACTGATCCCACATGAGGAATCGTGAATACGGACTGGTGAGTAGTCCTGTACTAGGACGAAACGGTCGTCCAGTGCTTCCAAGTTTTCAATAGTGATCTATCTTTGATTGACTCATGAATTCAACCGTTAAAATACTACAATCTTCACAAATCCTCATTCTAATTTACCACTTAGTCAACCAATATCATGTAACTGAAATAGTGAAAATACAAAAATATGTTTTACATAGAATCGCTACTAAATAATTGCCACATTTTATACTGAACGATGATGAAACCAAATTAATACAAAAAAATATTAGTATCAGAAGGAGTTTTGTAGATATTATAGTAATTTTAATAGTTGAGATCATGAATCAATTGAAGCTAGAGCACCATTGAAAACCTAAAAACACTGGACGACCGTTTCGTTCTATTGTGCATATCGTGGATTCGCTTTGCTCAAAAGTCCCACAATAGGACGAAAAGGCCGTCCAATATATATATTATACTGAACAAAATATCACACTGAGTAAAAACGTGATCTCACATTCCTATCCCATCTTATCAGTTAATATTATTCTTCTATCATAATTCATATCATTCACTGAGTTGTAGTAAAGTTTCTATAATATTAAACAAATTATTCAATTGATAAACTAGAACTTCATCAAAATTCATCTACCTAAGCTACAAATCTTCTCCATTATCTTAAACAAACATCTTACCACCACCTTAGATCTTTGATCAACACCTAGAAAACTCTATTGAGAAATCAGTTATGTAACCTTTCAACTGTTTGTTTTATTTTTAATAAAATAACCTTTTTTTTCCTTTCAAAATTGATTTAATACAAATCAGGTTTCTTCTCTCTGTTTCTCTCTTTAAATTGCGTGTTAAGTTTATTAAAATGTATTCTCTTATCCTGCTGTGATTTATATTTGTGCTAGTCAAATCGAATATTTATAAAATCTATTATATCAATTGAATAGTTTCAACTCAATATGAAGATGAATTGATTGATTGAAATGAATTAAGCCTATACATCGGTAGATATATAGATATCGATTGGCCCCCAAATGCCCTGATACGCCCGAGAGTCGGGAGAGTCCGCTCTCCCTCTCGAAATACTCTCACACGGCCACGCGTATATAGCCTCTGCCAGGGAAGTCCTACTCACTGCCTCCTCGCACCACGGGTGTTGTTTCCGAAGATGAGAGGACGAAAAGCGAATGTCCGGCGCTTTAACCGGATTCCAAACCAATGGTACATATGGGCTCCAGTATCCTGCAGGAACAAATGGCGTATGAACCAATTGTTGGTCACTGGCTTCCATGGGACTGCATCTCCTTACGATGCCCCACTGCCTTGTGGGTCAGACCTTCAGGTCGAAGGCTCGGGGAGTGGCCCTCTAAGAAAACCACCTGCGTCGATTTGGGCACCCAGGCAGTATCACAGCCCTCATACATATCAAATGAGATCTGTGTGGCGCATATGTATTTGGTGTCTCTTTGTACCAATATCTATGTGTTAAAATAATAATAACACTATATATGTGTATAACAAACGCTAAATACAGTGATGTTTTGTTGAAGATATAGATTGCGTAATCTAGAGGTTAAGTATTTACATGTGAAAGTGATAGTACTAAATTTCATCTCTCAATAATATCATTGATTGGTACTAGTGTGATGTGGGTTACGTATATCCACGTAAGTAGTATATAACGATGGTCAGGCATAGAATGTATTTCAGAAGATCGATAAGGAAAGAACGGAAACAGAATACAATTGGTATGAAAATGCATGAACAATGAAATCTGAGACAATCGACTGAGATTTACAAAAGGAACAGTTAAGTTTGAGTTGATGGACTGATATTTTGCAAATTAACTATATACTATATGGTTCTCATATTTTGATGAGATGCTCTGAATTTTCGTGTCAAATACATTCGATTGTCACCACTCGTGTTTTCGTTCACTACACTAGCTCTAAGAAGTTCCATACTAGAACAAAACAAGTATTCAGTACTTCTTAGTTTCTAATAGATGTTTAACTTAAATTAGTTCACGATTATAATTATAAAAGTAGTCAACAATTCACTTACTTTATCTTTTTCTACGAAGTCAATAAATGCAGCACGTTCTACTTCAATTGGATGTCTATTTTGATCATATAAAGCAATAATAAAATGAAAAAAATTGCTTTTACGTAAATTATTCGGTGGTTGTTTCTCGAAACGAGCCCATGCTACTTCCATTCGTGGTGTACAATGTGTATATCTATATGGATGAAAATGAGAATATTTCGATAACAAAAAAAAAACAAACGGAAAAGACTATATTGAATATATTCATAATCACTGTTACTTGAGATCAGTAGTTTATGAGATGATCAAGCAAATCTATATTCGAAGTGATTTTCCTTTTAATGGTATCACGTTTATTTTATAAGACATTATACAATAAAGGCAAATAGTTTACTTTGTAAAATTCAATAATTAAACATTAGGTGATTACAAAGTGACTGCTGATTGAAAATAAGTAAGAAAATTGGAATATATCCAATGTAGGACTTTGTAGAGATAATGAAAATTTCATAGATTCTATATTATAAATTGATCATACTTAGACTCTTATTGAAAACCATGGAAGTATAGGACTTTCGTTTCATCTTATTTCACGAATTTTCAAAATTAAACAGACATAGCCTTGGAACTGCGAATTGAACAAAAGACTTTCGACTTTAAGTGCAGATGCTTAACATTTATACTATTAAACCGATATCCAACAGTGTTAATGTCTAACTTGAATAATGAAATCGTGACTGGTGAAAATCAGATAACTTGGAGGTAAAAGGGCGAGACTCTAATTTATGGACTAGCCAATCAGAAGCGTTATATAGATTTCAAGGTTACGGCGCCAACTTCAGTGCTTAATGCTAACGTACGATCGGTTCACAGGGAATTTTGTACAAAACGTGATAATTGAGCAGCCATAATAAGTAAAACGGCGAGACTATAATTTGTGAACGAATCAATCAGGTATAAGATAATATATCTCAGATTTTAACGCGAAAGCCTTTCATCCATTTGGCTAAGTAAATTTCTGGCGTTATAGCTGATATCAGTTCGTGATGAAAACCCCATGTATAATTCCTAACTAAGGCAAATTACGAAAATTATCGCGAACCGGATAATAAAAGCACCAGTAATACTGGCTGCAACCAGGTACTACAATATATACGGATGTTTGGAGAGTGTACAGACTCCTACGTGAGCCTGGTTATGTGCATCGTATCGTTATCCACAAGTAGCATTTTGTGCACTCAACAACCGGAGTGCACATAAACAATATTGAAGCTATGTGGTCGAGGCTGAAAGAGTTTTGAGAACTTATCATGGCTCCAGAGGCCGACTATTCTGTAGCCATATGGGTGATTTCCTCTACTGCATGCATTACGATTTTAGAACCTCTGAACCCCTTACTAACCTTGAAAAGTTTTTGAACCATGTATAACAATTGTATCCACTTTATTTCCTTGTTTTTGTATAATATATTTCTACTCTATACTGACTGTTTACTGATTGGCTAATATCTCTCAGGGTCACTTAAGACTCATTCAAAGGTCGTCCATAAACTAGAGTCTTGCCACTGTATACTAAACTAATGGTACTGATGTTTAATTATTCTCTAGGAAACCTTATAAGATTGTGATGTAACAGCTATTCAATATTCATCAGTTTTCAGTGGTACTTCAAATGGGATCAGTGTGTAATGAATACAAACTAAAAATTAAATGAATCTGTGAAAAATCTTTTCGGTTGAACTATTGTATGTTTGTCGTATGAATTGAAATACTAACTATTAAACTTCTTCATTTAACTAATAGAGAGCTATTCAACTGTAATTTTGTATAATACTTTAAACATTCGGCATAGTACAAACTTATTTCTTTGACTTGAAATCAAAATTTTCACTAATCCTAAAGAATATGTTAAGCTGGACCATTTCTTATTTTTGGAAACGAAAAAAACTTGGATAAATCTTATTAAGGATGAAAGTACTGATTATTATTATTATTATTATTATTATTATTATTATTATTACTTAATTATTACAAAGGTGACGATAATCACAGACTGATTTCAACGTGTGACTGGTCATTCAAAAACCAGTTGACATTAGATTGCTTAATCATCTAGGTTTGAATACTTCACACCCTAACAGGGTATCAAAAACTCAAAATTTTCATATCTTCTTCTTCTTCTTCTTCTTCTTCTTCTTCTTCTTCTGCTGATGATGATGATGTTAATTAAACCACTGATTCAATGCTTAATAAATATATTAAACTGCAATATATTCTGAGGGGGGTAGGGATATATATATATATATATATATTCATACATATATCTTTGATCACAGTAATTTTAATCCTCAATTTCGAAAAAAAAACATAATAGAGAGAAAGAGAGAAGAGAATAAATGATAGGTTACCTATGTTTCCCACCCACCCCACCCCACCCCGTAAAAGCAACTTGGTGATAATAATTACTTTAAGGAGAGAAAAGAAAAAAGAAACGGTGTATGAGAGTTACCGATATCAATTTCATTCTTATTTTGTACACTATATGATTAATTCACTGAGAGAGAATGAAGTTTTTTTTAAAAAATAAAAATATACGTATTTATCTACAAAAAAAATTGAGATGATCCCACCACTGGAAACAAGTTCATATTCACAGTATCTTTTTAGAGATGATGACGTAATCATTTGGAGTTTAATTACATTGTAAAAATTTTCTTTTGATGATATACCGAAAAGTAAACTCACAGAGTCACTTATACACAATCATCTTAATAATAGTTAGACAGGTGAAGTGAATAAAATAATAATGGTGTTAAAAAAAAAGATGAAAAAACCTGCAATCCGGAAGTGTTCACCTCTATAATTACATAATAAATAATGACTAGCTTAAAGATCGAAAAAAGGAGAATATTTTCCATCTTTCATATTATCACATAGAAACTGTATAAATTATACTTGGTGTTTTTTTACTTGTATCTTCCTATTGTTATTTGAGACTGCAATTGATTAGTCTCTTGTTGGCATATGTGCATCCTGTGCGCATTGCCTTGATATAGCCTTAAGTCGCAAGTTTTTTTAAGCAAATATGGATAGTGGCTAGCAGTGGAATCCAGGACGCGTGTTTCGTTCTATTCGGAACTCGTCAGCTGGATGTACCTACATCGCAGAGTTGATATTCACTTCGGTACTCGAACCCAGTATCGTTCGCTTCAAATGCCATCGCATTATCCACTTAGCTACTGAATCCTGATAGCTACCTGCTTGTGCAATAGAGTGAAGCTTAAATTCACTTGGTGTTGTTTTACTTGAATCTTCCCATTGATATTTACGACTGCAATTGATCAGTCTCTTGTTGGCATATGTGCATCCTGTGCGCATTGCTTTGATATAGCCTTAAGTTACAAGCTTTTTAATAAATTATATTTTTAAAGCTGTTATATTGAATATAACTAAGGAATCTATTATAAAGACTGAGGCATTAACTTATGTATACTATATTGAGTGAAGTTTACATTAGACATACATGATATTTGTCAATACCTAAAGATCAATTAATTGTAAACTTATCAGTTGTATACAAGATCAATCAAAGCCCAAATAGCTAAGTATTAGGAATTCAAACGGTGTAGTTGAATGACTTTGATTCTAACAGACTAGAGAATATCAATACCTTCAAACTTTCGATTATCTCTTACTGACGAGTGATATCAAACACGAAATCTAAATTAAATAGCCTATCCTAACGACTAGTTTCAATTATCTAACTTTTTAACATAGTGCAAATCATGCCTAGTTACTTAGACTAGTGGTTATATTGCAATTTATTCAATATAATCTGACTATCACTAAAAGAGTAGGTGAAGATAAAAGTGGTCACTACCTAGTGATCAATCATTTATAGATTACGCTACACTTTATTAACTGAATGAAATTGATAATATGAATATGTGGATTTCTATTCATCGAATCAAATGGTATCATACTCATTATCAGGACAAAAAGTCCTGACTTCCATTTTATATATGTGGTAGTAAGTGTTTGTTATGAAGAATTTTTTAAATGAAAATAAAGTAACTATTCAGTGCACCCCCAGTTTTCTGTAATTCTCATAATTATATCAATTCGCAAGGGAAACTCCCTCTGTATACTTTAGGACCCTGTAAAAATATGTTTACTTCCGATTACAAAAAGACTTTAACTAACTAATTTTTTTAAAAAAATAGAAAGTTGCAAATAGTTGTTACGAAAGAGGAATACAAAATTACCATAGTTTATATCACAAACTGACTTCAGGTAAACAACCATTGAAAATCAAAGAGCATTGGATAACTCTTTTGTCCTAATATAGGACTCATCAGTGCATATTCACGACCTCATCAATGATTAAATCCAGAACCTTCAGGTTTTTCTATTTACACTTATTATGTAAAAACACTGGGTTGATATCCAATAATTTATATTATCTGATTTTGATAACATTGTGCAATCATCTTTTGATACTACGAGTGAGTAATTACTTCAAATTCAACATTGTTGAATCCAACATGTCACAGCTTCTGATGACTACACAGAATTCAAAAACCCCTAAATTAACAAAATGTCCAAACAGCATAAGTTGAATTGTTTCTTTTTTTCTATTTGAATTGATAGTTTAAAAATGATCAAATTATCAGAAGGGGTTTGTGGAGATTTTTAGAAATTTCACGGATTGAAATCATGAGTCAATTGAAGCTAGACCACCTTGGAAAACCTAGAAGCACTGGACGGCCATTTCGTCTTAGTATGGTACTCCTCAGCAGTGCACATCCATGATCCCGCACCGTTACCAGTGGAGTTCAACCAGGTCTGTTGTGAGATATCAACTCACTGAAGACAATGGTATACTGTGGCGCAGCTTCGTGGATTTGTTGAAGTCAGACATTAACACCATTGGTTGCCGGCCAGCTCAGTGGTCCAGTTGGTTAAGCGCTCGGCGCGAGACCAACAGGTCCTGGGTTCGAATCTCGCGGGGTGTGGGATCATGGATGCGCACTGCTGAGGAGTCCCATACTAGGACGAAACGGCCTTCCAGTGCTTCCAGAATTCCCATGGTGGTCTAGCTTCAATTGACTCATGATTTCAATCTGTGAAATTAATTAGTTAATTAAAATATATTAAATATGCACTAATCGAGTGATCTACAAACTGTAATTTATTTTCTCTAAAGTTTTAAATGTTCTAAATTCAATATTGTAGAAAGTAGAGTAATACGTAAACACTGAGAAGTAATGAAAAATAACATTAAACAATGTAAGTAATAATACGCCACACCGTATGATATCAGTCCAATTTAAAACCAGAATATATACAAAAAGATGGATAGTGGCTAGTAGTAAAATCCAGGATGTGCGTTTCGTCCTATCTAGGACTCGTCAGCTGAATGTACCTGCATCTCAGAGTTGATATTCGCTCCGGGACTCGAAGCCAGTACTGTTCGCGCGTCCTGGATTCCACTGCTAGCCACTATCAATCTTTGCTTATAGTGATTGTGATTTAAAGTAATATCGAAGCAATTCACATATGACGTATATATGCCAATAGGAGACTGATCAATTGCAGTCTTAAACATCAATTGGAAGATTTAAGTAAACAATACTAAGTGAATTCAAAATTCATACATTTTTCTCATTTCATTTCAAACTCATTATTATTGAGTGAGATCCTGAAAGATAATGAAATGAATTCATCATTTGGATTATGATGATATGGTTTGTAAGTAGTGAACTATCTCAATCATTCGAACTCTGACCTTAAATCTAATTTAGTGCCTAACAGTTCAATATAAACAACCAAGTGGTATTTCCATCCCTGACGTTCACATACACACACACACAGCTTATGACCCAAAATTAATTATATGGACATGTTTTTTTGGTTGCCTAGTATCATTTGAATTACTTGTTCAGCTTGTTGACAAATGTGAAATTCTTTAAAAGAAGTAAACATTCTAATAAATGCAATGAAATAATAAGAACTGTTTTCTTTTACATAGAGAGGCATGCATAATCATATAACAAATTTTACCTTGTAGGATTTACTAACTGATTCGATGATAAACCTCTATTATTGAACGGAACATGATTATTGATCATTGAACCAGTAGTATTATCAAATAAACATCCAACAACAGAATTGTTATTAGGATTATTATTATTACTTGCATTTATTGCACCAACCATTTGATTACTCATTTGAGTTAAATGATGTACTGCAGCAACTGCAGAATATGCAGAAACCATTGAACCATTACGAGTACCATTATTTGTACTATTATTAGTATTACTATTATTATTAGTTGTATTGTGATTACCCAAAGAATTAGGTGATATAGATAAAATATGATTAAAATTATTATTATTATTATTATTATTATTATTATTATTATTATTTTGTGATTGGGAATTCATAAGACAACCATGTGATTGATTAGGTGTATTAATTAAAAAATTAGACTGATCCGATGGTGAATTAGAACATTCTGGTGAATTTTGATGAGGATTAGGATGATGAAGATGATTAACATTATTCTGCCGATTTTGTTGCTGTTGTTGTTGTTGTTGTTGTTGAGCTATCCATGAACGTACTAAACCAAATTGATTAGTTGGATCTGTTGACATATCTAACATTTCATAATGATCACGTTTCAATTCTGAATGTTGTTGATGCTGATGTTGATGATGATGATGAGGTTGCGGTTGCTGTTGTTGTAACATACTGACACAATTAGTTGTAGATAAATGTGTATTAGATTGTGTAAAATAATTTGATGTTAATTGATTTGATATAGGATATTGTGAATGTTGTTGAATAAATGAAGAAAAATTAGAATTTGTTAAATGTCTATCAACCATATTTAAATTTGTACATAATTCATTAGGATCACGTGATATTGTAGAAGAGGTAATTGTTCCTAATTGAGTAAATAATTGTGGTGTAATTGACTGATCTAATGAATTATGACTATTATTTGTTTGGATAGTTACATCATGTCCATGTAATGATGCTGCTGCGACTGCTGCTGCTGCTGATGATGATGATGATGATGATAATAAATCGATATTTGTGGATAAGTTAGATAAACTCATTGTTGTAGCCATTGAATACTGATAATTAATTATTGCATTATATTCTATTAATAATAATTACTTTTAATTACCTGTAATAAAATGTACGATAAAATAAGTATAAACGGTAAACAAACAGTTTTATGATGAGATTTGTGAATAGTTCAACTGAATTCGAAGGTGAGTTACGTCATTCATTAAAATAAATGAAAAAAACGGGTATCATTGAAAAGCTTTTATGACTACTAATGTGATCTCACTAGTTTGTACCTACATCACCATGGAATAAACTTGAGATTTTTTAAGTTTTACAACAAGAACCAAATTTCTGATCTGAAATCCTTTTCACCTTGAACTAGAACAAAACAACGGCGAGACTAAAATTTATGAATGAATCAATCAGATATAAGATAACAGGTCTCAGATTTTGGCGCGAAATTCACTAATCCATTTGGATAAATAGAGTCTTGGCATTATAGCCGATGTCGGTTAGTGATGAAAACTCGAAATCTAATTCCTAAGCTTAATCGTCAACTGTAAATTACAATCCTAATTCCTCATGCAAGTTCATAACCCTCATTTGGTCCTGGTTATTAAGCGGACACTCTCAAGGTCAGTCTAACGTCGCTCAAAGGTCGTCCATAAATTATAGTCTCACCAAATCAATCAATTATAAGCAAAATATCACACTCTGTATTACCAAAGCCAGATCAAATTATCAAAACTAATCATATTTTTACCGTATTCTACTATTTACAGGTTCATATTAACCAACTATTAACTGAATAAGGTTTGTAATTGATCCGTCTCATTTTATTAATGACTTTATTCAATATTATATTTTTGGTACAATATAGAATCCTCAGCATAAAGTATTTCAACAAGTTTCCTTTCCTTATTTCTCAACCTATCCTGACAATAAATATTGAGTGATCACCAGTTAGCCGTTAGCAGTTCAGAAATCGACATCTGAACAATGATTAGTCTTTTCAATGCATGCGTTTCCTCTGTGGATTGTCTTGACATTGGCCACTTAGTCATGCTTTTCTGAAGTATATATGTCGCAACAGATGCAAATATTCACCATTTTTAACGTATGACATTGTCAAATTCATCAATACATGCTTTATTTTGGCCTTTTTAAAATATCATAATTATGGACTTATAACTGTAGAACCTAATGATGAAGTTATTGAAAACAATTATTCGCTCGAATATTCTTCCTTTTTAATCAAGTTGAATAGTATTTGACAATGAAAACTTACTTGGGATACTAGTTGTCCTATTACTGAGGCAATCCGTACCCTAAACACAACTGATCATTTGTAATCGTTAACATTAGTGATAGAAATACATAAAATCTCACAAATAAAATTCATAATCGTTGTACACGATAGTGACTAGCTGGACTCAGTATCTCGGTGGATAACGAGGTGAGTGTTCGAAACGATAGGTACTGGCTTCGAGTCTCAGAATGAACATCAACAAAAGGATGTACAGATACGTAACACTGACCAGTCGCAAGTGGGGAGAAACACTCATTCTAAATTCCACTGCTAGCTACTATTCAACTTTACTAAGAATATACTTACTAAGAAAGAAATACGTTATAACGTAAAAAGTTGGAAATTAAAAAGAAAAGTTTAGGACAGAAATACGTTGTGTTAACTAACAAAGTAATTGATGTATATCTTCAAAATAACGTCAATAACTCATCACTTCGCTTTGAGCCCTAGTTACTGCAAAAGAGTTATTCAGTACAAATCAAGGAAGATTGGTTTAAGCAAGTAATACAGGTGCATGATACACGTACAATCAACTTAGATTTGAAGCAAGCATTTAAGATACTGTTATAACGGGACGAACATTGATAGAGTTGGGACTTTCGGAAGTATTTCTTCCATTGTTACTACCCATATTTATACTGCATAATTATTACAATTGCCCCCAAATGCCCTGTTACGGTCAAGGGTGTGGAGAGTCAGTTATCTCTCTCTAAATGTTCTCACATCGCCATGCTTATACAGACGCTCCTACAGAAGTTCTGCTAACTGCCTTCTCGAGGCAGCAGGTCTTCATTACGAAATTCAGAGGACAAAAAGTGAACATCTTGAGCTTTAAGTGGGTTAGTGGATATGAAGGATTCACTTAGAGGAGTGTGAAAACCCTCATTCCAAACCAATGGCGCACATGGGCACCAGGAACCTGGGGGAACAAATGGCGTACGAACCAATTGTTGATCGTCGACCACCACGTGACTGTATTTCCTGACGTTTCTCCACTGCCTTGTGGATCAGACTTTAGGTCGAAGGCTCCAGGCGTGGCCCCCTTAGAAAACCATCTGTTTCAGTTTGGGCACTCGGGCAGTATCACAACCCTCATACATATCACTGATAACTACTACTGGCCCCATTGTTATTGTATGACGCATATATGCTTGCTGCCATCTTGAACCAATGTTTATGTGTTCAAATAAACAAATAAATAAATCTAGTGTGAAACTCTTCTGTAGTGTGTAATAACAATTTAAACTAGGGATCAGATACATAAGCATCAGATCAAACATAGAAATTCGTTTTGATCAATTTTCTATATTATATTCTTAATGTTAAAATGTCATTGTGAAGGAATGTTCATTTTAGACATTTTGCTGTTGGGTCAATTATATATTCTGTTTAAGAGAATAAATGTTTTCAAAAAGAAGGCTAACAAGTCATTCTCGTTCAGTAACTGCTCTCTATACAAAGAAACGTTTTATAATCTATCAATTATCTTTAACTAAAATCTGGATATCACTAAATATTTATTATGACCATTGTGAATACTAGAGAAGATCGAGTCAATGACAACGATATAAAAGTACTCATGTAATGAACAAGAACACAGTTGGGGACAATCAATCTATATTAACACGAAAATTACAGAGTTCTTTGTAAAAAAATCATACGTTCGATAATTCATTTGCAAATCTTCCATCAACTGTCTCAAACTTCATCATTCATTTTATTGCCATAATAATTACTGTTTGTTCGCGTCCTCTTCGATTTTATCTTCCCAACTTTCTACTGTCAAACATTTCACGTCTGGTTGGTTTTTATATACTACTTATGTAGATATAAGTAGCATACATTATAATCGATTTATAAATACTCTATTACTTTAATCGTATTTTCCCTCAAGGCCAAAGGAAAAGAGGTAGACCAAATAACACATTACGCCGGGAAATGGAGATAGACATGAGAAAAATGAACAAGAATTGGATGGAACTAGAAACGAAGGCCCAGGACAGAGTGGGTTGGTGAATGCTGGTCGGCGGCCTATGCTCCATCGGGAGTAACAGGCGTATGTAAGTAAGTGAGTAAGTATTACTTTAATCAAGTTATTATTCTACAAAAGATTAAACTTAGGGAATTTACCTGAACTAATTTGATTGTCAAATTGTACACGTATATCGTTAAGTTCTAACTTTAGAAAAGTCTATGCTTTGCGTTTTAATGGTTTATCTAGAATTAAAGTGTCAAAAAATCTTTTTCTTTTCTTTTCACATCAACTATCAAACTTGTTAACAACCTAAAGATGTTCCCGAAATAATCAATATTTTCAGTTGCCAACTATGTAACAAAAAATCACTGATTTCACTTCGAAATGATTCTTCGTTATTTACTGTTGATGTATTTTTATATATTGACAGAAATAAATTTAAATTCACTTAGTACTGTTTACTTGAATTTTTCCATTGATGTTTAGGACTGCAATCGATCAGTCTCTTATTGATAGATGTGCATCCTGTATGGATTGCTTCGATATTGTCTTAATTCACAAGGATTCTAAGCTTGGATAAATAGTGGCTATCGGTAGAATCCAAGACATGCGTTTCGTTTCATCTACAAGTCGTCAACTGAATCTACTTGCATCCTAAAGTTGATGTACACTATCGGATTTCAGTCCAATACCGTTCACTTCAAATGTCATCGCGTTATTCGCTTAGCTACCGAATTTAGATAGCCAATGGCTTGTGTAGTGGAGTGAAGTTTAAATTCATCTAGTATTGTGGCAAATCATTATCAGGACTCAATAACTAAGTGGCATTTGAGGCGAACGGTACCGGGTTTGAGTCCCGGAGTGAATATCAACTCTAAGATGCAAGTACATCTACCTGAAAAGTTTCAAATAGGACGAAACAAATGTTCTGGATTCCACTAATAGCCACTATCTATTTTTGCTTAAAAATCAGTCTAGTTATTTTAAAAGTATTAGAAAAGTGAATTATACAATTTATTGACTGATTAGTTATTGTATTTTCTTTCTCTATTAAATATTATTTCAGTTATCTAAATGTGATATCTAATATGAACTAGTTGTGAAATGATTGTAATAATAAATAAGATGAAAATATATGACTACTTGCTATGATTTTCAATTTCGGGCTATGGAGATTATTGAATTTCAATAAAATAATAAACCGATGAATGTTAGTCCGTTATTGAAAATCTAGAAGCACTGAATGGCCATTTCATCCTAGTATAGGACTCCTCAACAGTGTACATTCATTCAATTCCAGTAGTTTTAGTCTTGCATATGAGATTGTGAGTGTGTACTATTAAGGAATCCCATATTCGAACAAAAAAACAACCATCCAGTGCTTTCAGATTTTCAATTATGGACTAACATTGAACAGTAAATGTTATAAATTGATAATTAGTCCTACTGGAGATTATTTATAATTGTACTTGATCTAGGACATATCATAAAATAACTTCATTGTAACATTTGTAATTATAAACGAAATATTTCTCATCCTACATAAGATGTATGTAAGATATTAACTAGACTGTTTAATTTCCGAGCTTATTACATTAATTATGTTCCGAACAACATTCAGAGCTCTACAACTGGATGATTTTTAACCTTTGAAGGATTCAATAATAAAGTATCCATCTAAATTATAATTCTTTTCCATCATCAAAATTATTGAAAAAATTAATGATAATGATTATTGATTTATGAACTTGTTCTACACAATTTTTGTTCTC